GAGACCATAAAGTCCCTCCGTCCTAAACTACTGACAAGGGGGAGACCAGGTTAGAAAATCCCAGAAATTTCTCAGGCAATAACAGGATTAAATCTGGGACCTCCTGGTTAGTGAGCGAGCACCTTACTCGATGAGTCATTGTGACTCTCAAAAAATCAAAGACGTTTAGTTCTTTATAAGTATTTTCTTAAAATATTCCCCCCCTCCCCCGAAATTATTGAATCAACGCATAGTTTGTACATAAATCAAAGAAATTCCATGTCTTACAACAAACCAAAAACATAAAATTAAATAAAATTAAAGATGCATTATGTAAGATTTAGGTAAAGAGCTGAAACTCGTTATAACATTTAAAAAATAGATAATGAAAATGGAATATGTTGAAAATTACTTCATTTTGAGCGATGTTGGGACTGTTTGGAGTCTCGGTTGTCCTTGCTACCATTGTTACAATAGTAAACAAAGTCTCGATTATTCATTTTTAAATTAAATCATTAACCGCTAATCGTGTTTAAATCTGATGAAAATATTGAACATCCGATGCTCTAAAGGGTTGACTATGGTCTTTGCAAGTAAATAAATGTCTAATTAATAATTTATATAAAATTTAAGGCCTAAAGATCTGCAATAGGCAGATTTACCTCTTGCATAATGCATCTTTAAATAAAATTAAAAATAAAATAAAATAAAATCAAAACTCACTGTGAAAAGAAGAAATAAAAACAAAAAGAGCACATCACATTACAACACAGTAACAACATCTAGATTGTGATCTGGCCATCTTTATAATGGACGATTTTCTTTCACTGGCCACTAGTTGCTGGGAGGCGGCAACATGACTCGGAGAGGTGGTCTCCACATGCTGAGCCTCTTCATGCATTTTATTAGCACTAAATTTAATCAATTTACAGTTATTATCAACACTTTGAGATGATTCAACACAACTAATTGTATTTGGTGATTTGAACGTGTCTTTGGTGTTTCCGCGATGTACTTTAGTGTTAGTCTCGATATGAGAACTGGGTAAGTTGTCATGGCAATTGATAACAAGTTCATGCGAGTCTTCCAAAGAAATTTCTGATAATGCCGTTTCGACTGACCGCGAGTCCTCATTCAGAATGTGATTGTTTCTGGAGGACGAAGGCGAAAGTTTGTTATTGTTGGCGACGTCCGAGTCCGAGTTATAATCCTCGGATGAGGAACTGTGGTGTCGGTCTCTACCCCGCGGCCACATTAACAGCACCCGTTCCATCTGAATAATTTCTCGGGCGGCATCTTGAAATGATCTCTTCCGCGCGACAGACTGTGGGGTCTGGAGATGATTTGTGTCCTCAATTATTTCATGGAGTTCGAAATCATCCGAATTACGACTTTTGATACTGGCACGAAAACTGAGAGGTAGATGCTCATGTTTCTCGAACACAGCATAATCGTGAATATTTATGGAATCAATGTCCGATGTCTCCATCTCTTCTCCATTGATGGAGATCGTATTCCTACGCTTCCATTTATAAGATGTGCTCGTGAAAGATTCGTTCAAATTACCTTGACCTGGTTTTAGCCTCATGAACAGGTAGACAGGCTGAAAATTAAAACAAAAATCACCATAGAAAATAGCATGATACAGAGAGAGAGAGAGACAGAGAGAGAGAGAGTTTCACTCCACTTGACATAAACCGGGTTGTTGGGGGACTAACATGGTTCAATTTTTATTTCAATAAATTGGCTAGAGCGTAGGGGTCTTTAGCAGTGGAAGGAAACCGGAAAAAACACACGAGGTTGGACTGGTGACCATACTCCTTGTCACATACAACCCGGGAATCAAAAACACAGCACTTGACTCAATGACAGACCTTATGATCGAACGTGCACATGTTAACCATTTGACCACCCAGAGTGTGGTAAAAGAAAGCGAGAGAGAGAGAGACAAGAGTATGAGAGTGCAAGAGAGAGAGAGAGAGAGAGAGGAATAACTAACTTACCTAGACTCTAAATTGTTTGGAATAAATATTGAGAAGGCGGGGGGTAACTGATGTGGAGGGGATCCCTGATGAGAAATCAGGAGCTTCGAATTTGACAGAATTATAATCAAGTGACATTGAATTCAGTCCTGTCAATCAACACAAAGTAATTAAAGGCAGTAAATGTTTCAGCTGTTGTGGTTGGTTGAGATGTTTTCTTCTATTTGACTTATGCATTACAGAACAGAATCCACTTTTCCAATCAATTGCCACTATTCATGGGATTGCAAGAGTTCAATTTTGGAACATGAGATCGCATCGTTACACTTTTTCACCCAATTCCTTATTCATGGGATTGGGAGAGTTCAATTCCAGAACATTCAACTGCACTTGGAGAATTTGAGAGAGAGAGAGAGAGAGAGAGAGAGAGAGGGGTCCACTCCACAAGAACTACGTTATTTTGGGACAAACGTATGGTTTAATTTTATTTCAATAATTCGCTTGTGCGTAGGGATCTATAGCAGTGAGAGGAAATTGGGGAACCCGGAGAAAACCCACAAGGTTGGACAGGTGACTCTACTCCTTGTCTTGTACAACTGGGGAATCAAAACCACGCCACTTGACTCAATAACAGACCTTATGATACAATGTGCATGCGCTAATCATTCGGCCATCCAACCCTGCTGAAACAGAGAGAGAAATGGTGTTTAAAGTCCTCTCAACACAAACTAGGTCATTCTGGGACTAATGGAGGAAACCAGAGGACCCTGATAAAACCCACGAGGTTATGCAGGTGACCATACTCCGTCACATACAAGACCTTATAATCTAAAGCACATTAGAACACTCAACCACCGTCCCACCGCTACCCCCCCCCCCCCACCAATTTAAAGAAATATGGAGAATAAAAGAAGAAATGAAATTAAATAATTTTGCATGATATGATGAACACACTAGGGCTTCCACTTTATGTAAGATTTAGATAAAGAGCTGAACGTTCTTGTTATAATAGTTCAAAGATTAATAATGAAAATAAAGATGCATTATGTAAGATCCTATAAATAATTCAAAATGAATATATTGAAAATTTAATTCAAATCTCTTTATTCTGACTGACGTTATCACTGTTTGAAGTTTGACATAAATTGTTTATTATTGTAGCAAAATTACTTGTTATTCGAGACTCAGTCTCACTTCCCCATTTTACATTAAATCATTAAATGACAATTGTATTTTAATCCATTTACATCTGCACCATCCGATGTCCTAGCGAGTTGATTATAGGCGTGTGATTTTAATAAATAACTAAATAATAATTTATATAACATTTGAAGCCAAAATAAAAACCTGTAATAAGACAGATTTAGCTCTTACTTAAAATACAGATGTGATGTCATCCTTTGATGTGTTAAGCGTACATTATTTAAGTTTAAGTTGTTTAATGATCTCGTGCAGGAGATTGCGTAATGTATAGATATAGAACTCGTGCAATATGTATATATTACTTAAAGTCTCACACTCGAACATAAAACTACACATAATGCATCTTTAACCTAATTTTGGATATATTTTCAAATGAAATGAAATGAAAAGGAGTTAATACCCTACTGTTCTGCTCCAACTGGGTTAATAAAGAAGGATATAGATTTCAAAATGTTTCACACCCAAAATTTAGAAATTAATCTGTAATTATAGAGTTTTTAGTTTAAAATGTTTTGTATTTTAAGCTGGTCAAATGAATATGATTGGAATACCATGAACCAAACAAACCACTCCCAGAAAGAATAACATTAACATGGAAGGCTAAATCTATTTGTTAAGGCAAGCTCAATTTTTGTCAAGGTCACTGAGATGTAAATAAGGTTTAGGGCACGTGGTTGTTGGCGAGACTGTCGGTTAGGGTAAGCATTGGGGCTAGGTCCAGGGTTAGGGTTGGGATTAGCACTAACCAAGTTTACAACTCATGACCTATGACGAAAAATTGAGCTGGCCTTATCATTTAACACTAATCAACATGGAAACATGAGTAACTCTTACCTTGTGGTCGCCCATACAAATATCTTTACCTAAAATATCATAACATGGTTTCTCTAAATCTTCCTGAAAAAAAAAAAAAAACACAAATTATTCTTAGTAACGAAATGAAATGGGGTATAGAGAGAGAGAAATGGAATTTAACGTCCACTTGACAAAAACTTCATTTCAGGAGCAGCACATGGTTCAACTTTATTTTAATAATTTGCTTGCGCATAGAGGTCTTTAGCAGTGGGAGGAAAACGGAGCCAATTCCTCCCCCCACCCTCTCAAAATAAATAAATATTTCGCCCCTGTGAAATAAATGAATGATATAACTTACTGTGAGTATTAAATTTTTGGCACTATTGCTGAACAGTATTCTATCACACCACGATGGACATCTGGTTTTCATGTATGATTTACCATCATTTATGTTTTCACTAAACGGATAACTCGGTGGAAAGCTGAATTCAAATTCTTTTAACTTCTCTTTCAAAGGAATGAGCTCTTTATCATACTGGTGTAACTAAAAGAAAGGAATGAGCACTTTATCATACTGGTGTAATTACAGGAATTGAATGAGTTCTTTGTCATACTGGAATAAGCTTGTTAAAAGAAAGGAATGCTAGTGTACCGGAGTGAACTCTTTTTATCATACAGGTGTAACTAAAAGAATGGAATGAGCTCTTTATCACACTGATGTAACTTAAAGAAAGGAATGAGCTCTTTATCATACTGATGTAACTAAAAGAAAGGAATGAGCCTTTTACCATACTGATGTAACTTAAATTAAAGAAAGGAATGAGCTCTTTATCATACTGATGTAATTAAAAGAAAGGAATGAGCCTTTTACCATACTGATGTAACTTAAATTAAAGAAAGGAATGAGCTCTTCATCATACTGATGTAACTAAAAGAAAGGAATGAGCCCTTTACCATACTGATGTAACTTAAAGAAAGGAATGAGCTCTTTATCATATTGGTGTAACTCGCAGAAATTAGCTTTTTATCATACTGGTGTAACTAAAATAAAGGAATGGGCTCTTTATCATACTGGTGTAACTAAAATAAAGGAATGAGCTTTTTATCATTCTGGTGTAAACGAAAGGAATGGAATGCACTCTTTATCATAGATTACTTAACTTACAAACAAGTTGTAAAACTGAAGTGTAATAACAAAAATCTAAATATATAGCGAAACAGTATATTTCATTAAAAACAAAAGGGCCATAGTTTTTATATATTTACCCATTTACTGGTGTTGTAGAAGAGATCAGAGTGTTTATCGTGGTAATCAAAACCTTTTGTTTCCACCGTTAATACAACCTGTAAACAAATCATACACAGTTACAGTATATCTTTATTCAATAATTCTCTGGTGCAAGGGTAAGTTAAGAGGAAACCAAAGAGCCTGCAGAAGAATCATTATTCTTTCTTGACACAAACAAGATCTTCATGCCACAATACACTCCTTTGCATTCCCCTGTGATAAAGTTCCTTTGCATTCCTATCTGATAAACTAAGCTATTTAAAGTCTTAATTATAACTTCATTCCATACACCCCTCTACATTACCCTCTGATAAAAGTTGAGACAATTAAAGTCTTAATTATAACTTTATTCCATACACCCCTCTACATTTCTCTCTGATAAAGTTGAGCTATTTAAAGTCTTAATTATAACTTTATTCCAGACACTCCCGTCTTTATAAGAACTTTATTCTGTTATAAATCCTTCTACATGTACTAGAACCCTCCCCTTCTACCTCCCACCCGCCATTATTGTATTGTACATCCCTCCTCTGATAAAGTATAGGCATACAGTAACTTTATTGTATTATACACGTCTAGGTCCATTTCATATCACACCTGCAGATTTTCCCCAAGGTCTCAAGATGTAAACATGGTACATGCTTGTTGTCGAGGATTGTGGTTTAGAGTTACGGTAAGGCTTAGGGCTAGGTTTTGGGTTAGGGTTAGTGTTAGCAAAAACACTGTTTACATCTCATGACCTATGACGAAATCTGCAGGTGTACATGTGAAATAGATCTAACAATTATACACTCCATGACCACAATGCCTTTCATTGAGTCTGAAAAGAATGCGTCAATAACCATAGCTCTATTGCACTAACAAAGTTTTTCACTAAACGGGGACAACTCTGGAACAAAATATTGCAGAATGCTTAAAATGGATAGGCATACAGAATTTTTATAAGAACTTTATTGAGGTATTTAAAGTATTACTAAGAATTTATTGTGTGATAAACATGCACTAATACCTTCCCATTCTCCTTTTCTTTATATACAACTTTAGTTATTTGATCTTTTTTACCCCTGGTTTCACTAGAATCAGTTTTTTCTGTGATGGCCTAAAAACATACAAGCACAGATATACACATTACACACATACAATATTCATATAAACCTAAAATATACACATACAATATACATAAACCTAAAAAATACACAGACAATATACATATAAACCTAAAAAATACACATACAATATACATATTATAAACCTAAAATGTACACATCATACACATACACTATGCACATACAAATATCTATGCACAGATATACACATTACACACATACAATATTCATATAAACCTAAAATATACACATACAATATACATAAACCTAAAAAATACACAGACAATATACATATAAACCTAAAAAATACACATACAATATACATATAAACCTAAAAAATACACATACAATATACATATTATAAACCTAAAATGTACACATCATACACATACACTATGCACATACAAATATCTAAATGCAAAAGAACTGTTTTCTTGCAGCATATGGTTATCATTATTCTTTAGGACATCTTTATATAGGATCCTTCCAAATTTTGGAATGGAAAAATGAAATAAGTCCACAATAAAATTATTAATAAAGAAAGAAATCAGAATATGTTCAGATCACAAGTCACAGCTACACTATCCTCCTATGCAAACATTTTATTAACCCTAGACTTAGACACCAGTTTCCTGTGCCCATCTTTTCTAATATTTGTGACTGTGGTTTGTTTGTCTGTTCAGGATTGGCGGCTACACGGGTATACGGGTAGCTCAGGCTGGGGAGTAACATAGGCCTGGTAGCGATGGTCTACCACTTCCAGTTTCTTTGTTATTCTACTTCCTGGTCAACCGCTAGTAGTCTATAAATATGGCACAAAGTACATAGGCCTGGTGGCGATGGTCTACCACTTTTGGTTTTGGAGTTATGCTACCTCTGATTCATGGCTACATCCGTGCTACGCCAGGTGAACCGCTGGTATAAAATATAAATGAAATGGAGTTTTAACGTCCTACTTTTATGCTCTGACTGGGATAATTAAGACAGATATTTCTAAAAAATAAAATTAGTACTATATGATGACCCGGTTATTGGATCTCACATAATGAAAACATTAGAGCTTACCTTAACTAATAAATGAGAATCTAATCGAAAATTAAAATCTCCAAACATGAAAAATGGCACCGTTTCATAATTATCATTTTCAAATCTGAAACAAACAAAAAATAGTAAGTAAATAGCTTCGCTGTTTCAATGTTTCATTAATGCTTATACCATGGATATAAAACCAGTATATAGGGGAAGCATTAGGAACCTGGAATTCCAATTCGAGATGTTCTAACATATCCTGACCTACTGAGAGACTCAACACAAATTAGGCCATTTCAGGACTAACATATGGTTTAATTTTATTTCAATAATTCACTTGCCCTTAGGGGTCTTTAGAAGTGGAAGGAAACCGGAGGATCCATAGAAAACCCACGAGGTTGGACAGGCAACCCTACTCCTTGTCACGTACAACTGGGGAATCGAAACCACGCCAGTTGACTCAATGACAGGCCTTATGATACAGTGCGCACATGCTAACCATTCGGCCATCTAACGCCCCACCCTGACCTTCATGTACATGTAGACCAATCAAAGAAGGCAGATACATGGAGTGAGCTGTTCGGAGAATTGTGCCCAGACAGCTGTGCTACAACCTACTCTATTTCCAATTCCACCTGTCAAGGGTACACAGGATTAGTTTTTCGTCCATTCCAAGCAACAAGACTCTGATCTTTGCCAAATGATCCTTTCTGCACAATTGACAAGGAGAGATCTTGCCAGAAAATCCTGAGGAACTTTCTGTCAACATCGGAATTGAAATCCGGTATTTCCTGGTTAGTAATTTTATAACCCAGTGCCTTACACATTCAGCCACTGCAGCTCCAGAATAAAAATAAGATCTCACCTCTGTAACGTGTGTAATAATGCTTGCTGCCGATTTTCGCTATACAACGATGGACTCTGAAAGATAAACAAAGAAATTAACAGAACCGTATAAAAGAATGAAATAAAATGGGGTTTAATGGTTAGTCGGTGCACTTTCGATTCCCCGGTTGTACGTGACAAGGAGTAAGGTCGCCTGTCCAACCTCATGTTGTTTTTTTTCGGGTCCTCCGGTTTCCTCCCACTGCTAAAGACCCCTATGCACAAGCGAATTATTGAAATAAAACTGAACCATATGTTAATCCCAAATGACCCAGATTGTGTCAAGTGGATATTAAAACCCATTCCTCTTTCTCTCTTTACGTCCACTCCCACCGGAACCTAGCTTTCTTTATTTCTTATTTCTTCAGAAGTTATTTGGCCCCGTGGGCAGGTGATCTATTTTTTCTATACCTTTAATCTAACATAAAGCCTAAATATCAGAAAATATTTTTGTCAGTAAATCTTACAATAAAATATACATCAGTCATCCATCTTTCTGATTGTCAGAAAACAAAATTTCACATGACAGCAATAAAAACATAAACTATTTCAAACAATGTCAATCTGGGACATTAATGGCCAAATAATTCACTGTTGTAGTATTTTTGTGTTCTATTTGTAACTTGAATCTATAAATTTATTTATTTGCACCGATCGAAGTAAGTAATGGCTCAATAACAGACCTTGAATTTATGAAATAAGACAGAAAACGTTTTAGAAATATTATCCACAATTATGTATATTCCACATACAGGACCATCTTGATGGGGCATTGTGGGGACAGCGAGAGTCTGTGACAATGGTGGATGGGGGAGAGTGAGGGGAAGGGGGTCATTTCCACTAGATCATTTCAAAAACCCACGAGGTTGGACAAAGAGAGAGCGATAGAGAAATGGGGTTTAACATCCACTTGACCCAAACTAGGTCATTTCGGGACTAACATGGTTTTTACTTTTTTTTTATTTCAATAATTCGCTTGCGCGTAGGGTTCTTTAGCAGTGAGAGGAAACCGGACTGCTAACCATTCAGCCATCCAACCCCCCCACTAGGTTGGACAAACGACCCTAATTCTTGTCGTGTATTAGTTTGGGATTGTAACCATGCCACTTGACTCATGACAGACCTTATGATCTAAATCACACATGAAGTGGCAACGGACCTAACAAACAGCTAATCTGCTTTGTGATGCAAAAAATCAATAATAAATAATAGAAAATTATAAATTGATTCTAAAGATTACATTATTTGATACTATGGATTGTCAAAGCATCAACGAATCAAAATTCTTATCTCAGACAAACAAATTTTAATAGTCCCATGCTTTTGTCGAAAGATAACCACGCCCAGTTGTGTAAACAAATTTGTAGGGGTCTTATTCAATAATACTTAAATGAATATATTTTAACCATTCGGCATTTCCATTGGCTGAGAATTAAAATCCTAGTACAAATGTTAGCTTTTAACCAATGAAATAGCAACATTCTTAAAATATTTCATTTAATGATTACGTGAATAAATGGCCTAGCGTGAGATGGGAGTCTCGCCACAGCTCTAAACAGCTCTGTACAGATATATTTGCAAAAATTGACATTCAATTTGTTTCTGTTGACTTTGAGATAAGCACAATCTGATTAAAATACAGATCTATATTTCGTTTCGCTTTTTAATACTTTCGATGACCTCTATTACATGAAGATCTGACCAGTTGTATTGGGAGGTCATGTTAGGGGTCATACAAGTGGCTTTTGACCATATGACGAAAGACATTGATTAATCAATCAGCGGTGACGTTTCTAGTGGTTTACCCACAGTCCGTGCACGCCAAGAACGTGTCGTAACAGACCGTTTCATTGGCTAATTCCTCACATCAACTAGAACTAGAGTAGCAAAAACAAGTACAACAAAATTTTGAACTATGAAAAACGAAATGAAATAGGATCTGTGTTGTAATCAGATTGGATCTGTTGTGTAATAGATCAGTATACTTACAGATTGCATTGCTACAATATTTGAGGCATCGTGAAACAGATGAATGTTGATTAAATCAAACACACTGAAATAGATAAACATGCCCGGTATGGGAATTAAATATAAAAAATAGCCAGGTACTAATCATAAACATTATTCAGAAAATGCTATATAACATAAGAATTATTTGTAGCTGAAGTCCCTTAAGGGGAGAGAAAGAGAGAGAGAGAGAGAGAGAGAGAGAGAGAGAGAGATGTGGTTTAACATCCACTCAACGCAAACTAGGTCATTTGGGGACTAATTAACATACAGTTCCATTTTAATTCATTCACTTGTGTGTAGTGGTCTTTAGCAAAACAAGGTTCGCCAGGCGAGCCTACTCATAGTCACATACAAGCGGGGAATCAAAACCACACCACTTGACTCCATGACAGACCTTACGTGTTAACCAATCGCCACCCCCAACCATGCGCATGCACTAAGCATAATAAAATAAGAAAACTTGTCTGTGATATCACCCTCAGTGGAAGAAGACGTCAAACACCACAAACAACAACAGGCTAATCAGTTTCTTGTGGACAGTAAAGGACTAACTAAGGCAGTAGTAGTAGTAGGCTAATCAGAATTGGTCTGCGATATCACCGTACATTAAGCCCAACAAACAAACCAGACTAATCAGACAGGCAGTGATTGCGGAAATATAGAACAATCCTCTTGGTACATCATCAATATTCCAGAAAGCTATTTCATTTTATTATACAATGCTATTCCTAGTAAAATGTTACACTTACCAATTATTAATATTATGTTTTATTATTACTAGTAAAATGTTATACTTACTAATTATTATGTTTTATTATTACAAGTAAAATGTTATACTTACCAATTATTGATCAAATAACACACTATTTATGGATAACAATTACTGTGGTTTATTTCACTGCGACGTTTCAACAAGATTTCACAAGTCGTTATCAAGCATGTGTTATATGCTTGATAACGACTTGTGAAATCTTGTTGAAACGTCACAGTGAAATAAACCACAGTAATTGTTATCCATAAATAGTGTGTTATTTGATTATGTTCCAATTACTAAATGCCATTTAAAGAATATATTTACCAATTATTGATACTCCATCTCGTTCTGATAAAACCCTTCCGCGACCATTTAAACTAGAAATATATAAAAACCAATAATCATTACACATCAAGTAGCAATAAGTCTGTTTAAACCAGACATTGAGAAGAGAGGCCCTATAGACTATTCCACTTACAAGACCCCTTCCCCAATCCCCCATCCTCACCACTTGAGAAAAATAAAAGTGTGATTTAAACACAACTGACCAAATTAGAGGATTATGACGGATGTTTAATACTATATAGTGCATTTAAGAAAGGTTTATGAAAGTGTCAAAGAATCGGAAGAATCCAAGCATAGTGATTATCTACGGACGTCGGACAATACACTGATATGTTAAATAATGAGTTTGAGTACATTTTAGCACGTATAATGTCTGAAAAATCCAAATGAGAATTGGTAGCTTTCAGTTTAATCTAAATAGAAATCCACTTTACAAAGTCACTCAACAAACTAAACTTAATTAATTCAACGTTTTTATTGTTTCTACTCAAATCTACCCAATTTATATCACAAAATCTGACATATCTCTAGAAACTCCCTATTGATCTTTAATTAATGATGTTTGTGTAACCTGATACAAGTAATCAAATACATTTTTATTCTAATGATCAGGGCAAAAACAAAATGTCAAAGTGTAATGAGAATTTTTCTGCTGTCTGTTGACAAATGAAACTGAACCGAGATCAACTCTTCTTAACTCATTATTTAATCCCTTTAGCACTTGGTACATGTATAAATGAAAAATTTGGACAAATGCAATGGGGTTTAGAGTCCTACTGTACCGGGCTAATGAGAGAGAGAGAGAGGGAGAGAGAGAGAGAGAGTGAAATGGGGTTTAACGTCCACTCAACACAAACTAGGTCATTTCGGGACTAACATATGGTTTAATTTTGTTTACATAATTCGTTTGCGCGTACGGGTATTTAGCAGTGGCAGGAAACCGACGAGGTTGGACAGGCGACCCTACTCCTTGCCACGTACAACCGGGGATTCGAAACCACGCCAGTCGACTCAATGACAGACTTTATGATACAGCGCGCGCACGCTAACCATTCAGCCATCCAACACCCCCCCCCCCCCCGGGCTAATGAAGACCGACATATGCCATACACCAGACAGTGGTGCTACTGCATTAGTCTTATATCGAATTCCAACAGCCACTGGTTCTATTATGTGCTCACCAATACAGGAGCTCTGTATTTCATCCCATCCATACAACTATACATTGTCCCTTGCCAGTGTCCTCTGTCCTGCACAACTGACAAGGGTGAAAGGTACTGGAGATGGCAGTAGTTACAGCGGATTTTGGCAGTCCCAAAATTTTAGGTGGTCCAAAAATGAGAGAGAGAGAGAGAGAGAGAGAGAAGAGAGAAAGAGGCGATTTAACCTCCACTCGACACAAACAAAGTCATTTCGGGACTAACATATGGTCCTATTTTTATTTCACTAATTCGCTTGAGCGTAGGGGTCTCTTGCAGTGGGAGAAAACCAGAGGACCCGAAGAAAACCACAGAGGTTGGACAGGTGACCCTATGCCTTATCACGTACAACCGGGGAATCGAAACCCCGTCAGTTGACTCAATGAAAGACCTTTTGATGCAACGCTCACAGGCTAACCATTCAGTCATCCACCCCCGCCCATGAATGAAAGAGTAGTGGTTCCATATCTTCTTGCATAACTACTACCACTTCTAATGTTCGCCCCAGGAAATATTTCTAACAATACATACCTCAGGAAAGAAATGTTGAGGAAACTTGGCTTTTTCTTTAATAGGAATATTTTCTATATTACCCGATAAAACCTAAAATATATAATAACAATAACATAAAATATAATACAAACCAGCAGTTGCCAGGCAAGATACGCCTACATTTTGTGAGAGATGGATAGAGAACAAGCTGGCCGAAGACCTTGGCATTAAATACTTTTACACAATTTGCGTTAAAGATGTGGGCAGTTTGACAGGCAGTTACGGTCCAAAATTCGAACTCAATCATCATCAGGGTGTACAATGATATATTAAAAGGATTTTTAAAATCAGATAAAAATTGTAACCTCTAGAGGGTCAACAAGCTAAAATCGCGATTTTTTTGTACAATCAGGGGCCATAATCTAGGAAATTAAGGTCTGTTATGCGCGAACATCGAAAGGAACAGAGATCTTTTGGATATAAATGCATGTTTTAAGTTTCATCAAAATTGGATAAAAATTGTGACTTCTAGATGGTCCACAACCTTGATATTACATACTATTAACACTATTTGCATACAGGGAGCAGTCATTTTGTCCTGCAGTTTCGGTCCGACTTTCACAAAATTTAAACTCAATCATCATAATGGTGAACGGTGATATATTTAAATGGTTTTCTAAATCGGATAAAAATTGTGACCTCTAGAGGGACTGCATGCTAAAAATGAGATTTTTTGTTCAATTAGGGACCCAGAGAGAGAGAGAGAGAGAGAGAGAGAGAGAGGGGGGGTTTTACATCCACTCGACACAATCTAGGTAATTTCAGGACTAACATATGGTTTAATTTTATTTCAATAATTCATTTGCGCGTAGGGGTCTTTAGCTGTGGGAGGACATCAGAGGACTCTGAGAAAACCCATGAGGTTGGACAGGCGACCCTACTCCTTGTCACATACAACCGGGGAAACGAAACCACAGCAGTTGATTCAATGACATACCTTATGATACAGCGCGCACATGCTAACCATTCGGCCATCCAACGCCCCCTTTTTCCACCCAAGAAATTGGAAGCAGCATTTTCAATAAGCATTCCCAAACGTCTGATTGCTGCAGCCTTAAAAGGTGGGTTTTGGGGCTTTTTCTCTTTTTGTAATGGAGTCAAATACCAATGTGAATTCCGTTGAATTCGTAATTCATAAAAATTAAAAAAGAGAATTGAACATACCTCTCTTCCTTCTACAGGAACAAATTTACAATCTGAAATACAGAAATAAAATATTCAAAATCTTGGACTTTACCCCCTTGATCGTCAAAGATAGGTTGTCATGACAACCCACAGCAGCCAAGTGCTTTGATCAGTTCACAAAGGGTTCAATATTTCTATTTGGAGGTACATGTACATGAATTGGAGGGAGAGGGAAATGTGCATGTAGAAAAACAAAAACACCATATGATTTTATTTGTTTAGGTCAGAAGAAATAGGGACCTGCAAACCTGGCCACGACCCATCCTAACTTAATTTAGTAAGTATTTGAAGGGAAGGGGACCCAAAACCCAGAACATCCCTTAACGCGAAAACACATCATGGAATTATAAAAATTTATTGTAAAAGGGTCTAAATGACTGATCATATTTAGTAAATATTAAAGTAGCTAAGTCTCTAACTCAATATCATCCAAAATCTTCAACATTGAAAACACGATTTATTTGTCAAATTAAATCAACATTCATGTTGTGATCTTAACGGGAAAAGATGGGCTTTTGATAGCCAATATTTAAGACAAAATAAACATTTTACCATTGGTACACGAATCCTGTACCATAATGCGCTTCAGCGCCAGTTGTATCAAGAGACTTGAGGGACGAGACTAGACACATTGCACCAAATCAAACGGCGTATGTAGACTGGAATAACCAGACACTAGAAATTTGCACTCGCTTGAGACTGCTGGCTTATTTCGCCGAACATAACTGATTTGAAATTGGAGTAAAAACGAAAACCATTGAATGTAAATCAGTTAATATACATTCATAGTACAGTATTATATGCGTTGCAACCCACTTTTGTCAATTTCTAGGTCCCAAATGTTAGCGATTTAGCTCCTTTAAGTTAATATTTTGTTTGTTTTTATGATTTAAAGTAGTTTTATGTAGACTGGGAGAATTGAAATCCTGGCCATCCCCCACCCTCCCTTTAATAAGTTTGACCTAATACCACAGATGGCAACCAAACAAATAGCTTGTGGTTATAATAACATGATAAATAATAACAAGGTAATCTAAAATACATTAAGAACAACGTTATTATCTAATTATAAACAGAGACACATACATACATATTTCACTGTCCGAGATAAGAAATGTTAACTAACAGATATCCAAACAAACAAACACGGCTTTTAATAAAATTATCTTAAGAAATTTAATAGAATTTAAAGTGTATCCAGACATTTATCCTTGTTTATTTAATAATACCAGTAATTCATATTTTGTTTTATCAACTGGCATGTATATAGTGTTTCTAAATCAAATTGGTATTTAAAGATGAACTTAAAGAGTACAAACTGTATGATTTGATGAGAGAGAGAGAGAGAGAGAGAGAGAGAGAGAGAGAGAGAGAGAGAGAGAGAGAGGGGTTTAATGCCCACTCGACACAAACTAGGTCATTTCGGGACTAACACATGGTTCAATTTCATTTCAATAATTCGCTTGCGGGTAGGAGTCTTTGACAATATATTTGGACAATATATTTGGACTAAAAACATATGTAGATTAATTATCCAAAATTTGCTTCAAATCCCTCTCAAAATTTTGTATTTGTGAGGAGATATACCTAGCTATTAAAAACAAATCTTGTCACCATGTTTGTCACCTAACTTGATTGAAGGAGGACCCATTTTTTAGAATGTATTTATCATTACTTACTGTCCATTTACCATACATATTGAGGCCTAAATAAATTCATGAATTATTTTCTGCCAACTTCTTTTTCCACCGTTTAATTGCAGAATCTGTTATATGTTTACACCCATCAATGTTCACAAAACTTCCCAACCATTCATCAAGAAATAACAACCTCTCCTCAAATCAAGCTGGCAGACAATCCATTGGGTTGCCAGTTAGAGATACTCTAACATTTTTGCCCAGTGCTTGCCCCACGTGGGTTTTTCAGGTCAGTATTTTTCTATTAAGATTGGACGTCTATACTTTCCATATAACAAATTTGCCATACTTTTATTGGAAATAGACACCCGATAAATACTTTTATGAGAATGTATCTTTATAGGGCGTATGGCTCTAATTTTTTTAACATTGAATTAGACGGAAATGGTTCTAAAAGCACATGTTATTGTAATAGGAATGTATGTAAAGTGATTTATATACAATTTAAAAAAAAAAAGAAGTTTTTTATAATAAATTATATTTGGTGAAAATCGTGAACAGTCTGCTCAATCCATTCTACATGGTTTATTTTATTATTACTATATAATTACTTCCACATTGTCCTGTAGGATATGACTGTTTTTGTCCATTACAAAATGACACCATTAAAACTTAATTGTGTCTTAAATATTGGATATTGGGATCCTATGTTTTCACGGCAAGATAACAACATCAATATTGATTGAAATTGATCAATATTGAATTCTAATTCGAGTTTTTTCATTTTGAACATAATGGGAAATAATGGGTTAAAGCAGGAATAATGTTCAAGCCTGGAAATATGGCACCCGTCATAGACGTATGTCTGGCATAAATTCTAGCTTTGTTAGGCACAGGGCCTCCAGTGTCGGCCATTTTGTTCATCAAAATCTGCCTTTTTTTCTGTGTTTTCAATAATATTTATTATAAGCTACTTCTGACCCAAAGTTCAAAATCATTAAATATATAAGCCTGATGTTATTAATTTTTACAGTTGCTTGATGGAGTTAAAACACATTATGACCACCTACTAACTTATTGAAGCTCATAGAAACCTCTTAATTTCTTAAAATAGCCAAGTCTTCAACACTGCAAACATGACTTATTGGTCAATTTAAATCAATAATGTTGCTATCTTACAGTGAAAAGATGGGCTTTGATATCCAATATTTAAGACACAATGAAAATTTTAAACTTGGCACACGAATCGGATGGCAGAATGCTTGCGATCTCCATTTGTAATGAAGCGACTCGATGAACGGGGCGAAACATATCCCACAAGGGAAGGCTACCAGAGTAGACTGGAATAACCAGATGGCTAAGAATGCCATTCAATTTGCTTTTTTTTGCGTATTATCGCCGAACATAACTGATTAGAAATTACAGTAAAAACAGAAACGATTGAATATAAATCAGTTACATTACATTATTATATGCATTGTGTTCATTTCTAGGCGTCAAAGAATAGTGAGTTAGCTCCTTTGAAAGCTTTAACTCTTAAAGATACATTAGTTAAGAGTTTAATAAAGACTTGGCCATTCTTGCTATAATAATTCAAAAATAGATAATAAAAAAAGAAAATATTGAAAATTATCATTGAACAGTTATCATTGTTTGTAGTTTTGACAAGATGTGTGCACAGTGGTAACCAGGGCACTGGTATAATCGGGTCTTTGCCTCGCTTTCCCATTTTTAAATTAAATTTTTAAATGGTGAACCGTTTTAATCTAGTTAAAATCTTGAGTATCCGATGCCATCGAGAGTTGATTATGGTCTTGTTTTGTTAATAAATGTCTAATTAATAGTTTATATAACATTTCAGGCCTAAAGAAAGACCTACAATAGGCAGATTAAGCTCTTGCATAATGTATGTGTAAATTATTTGGAAATCAAAATGACATTTGTTTACAGTAAGAGTGTCTGGAGAAAAACCCATGTGGTTAGTTAGGCTACACTAATGTATTTGTAGAAATAACTTTATGATCTGTAGTGTATTTGTTTGACCATTTGGTCAACCCAAAACCAATCTACATTAGTGCTGGGTATTGTCACTGCAGTCACAATACGAAATGTATCGCAATTCAGGTGCTACAATACGATTCGTATCACGATTCATAACCAGGTCAATATTTACCAAGAAAACAAAAGGATAAATAAATAATTGATACTTTGAATCAGGTCGATGTTGAAGAATTTACCTGATTAAAATCATGACATGTGGATCAAAATAAGAAACAAGACAACTTAAGAGCATTTGTGTACCTATGGCTAATGTGTAACATGGATAATTTAATTAAGAGTGACAGGTTACTTACTGGCATGAATTTAACGCAGGTATTGTCTGCATGCTTTCATTCTATCGTAGGCTATTACGAAAACACTGTATGAATACCATACAGAAATTAGATAGCGAGGTGCACCTATTTTTTTATTACGAAAGGATTTGAATATTTTGTTGACATGTAATTTTTAGTTGTGGTCTGAATCTGTCTGCTTAAATAATGATAAGAGTTATGCCCCTTCATTGTTTGTAAAAACGTCTGACAAAAAAAAATTTGAAATAGCAAAACTGATCTAGCTTAAACATGCATTATGCAAGAGCTAAATCTGATTATTGCAAGTCTTAATTTAGGCTTCAGATGTTATAGAAATTATAAATTAGATCTTTATTTAATCAACAAGACCAAAATCAACTCTGTAGACCCACGGATGGCTCGGCTACAGCTCGGATTTAAATAGGATTTCACTAATTGATTAAATCAGATAAGGGGTAACCTGATGAAAATACGTCTGTTAGATCGAGGCTAAATGATAGAGTGTACTTAGCGAGGCCGCTGTAAAGCGTTTTCCGTATGCCATTGAAAATGAAAACTTTACTTGATAATCGAGATATGTAGGTGGAGTTAACGCCTGTCAATCAAACGATCAGCGAAGGCGAAGACACAATTCGCTACCATTTCTTGGCAAATATTACAACGATGATAACTATGTTCAGAATAAAGTAATTTGACTGAATTTTTCAATATATTCTTCTTTCATAATCTACTTTTGAACTGTTATAGCAAGAATGGCCAACTCTCTTTAAAAATCTCCCATAATGTATCTTTAATTAATTATTTTACATATTATTTCAACGAGCACGGCATCAACACCCTGCTCTTGCATTGTTAAATACATGTAGTTATTAGTTATTTCAACTAGAACTGCATCAACACCCTGATCTTGCATCTGGAGTTGTTAGTTATTTCACCTATTATTTCATCTAAGCCTGCATCAACTCCCCTTCTCCTACATGTGGTTTTGTTATTCTACATATTATATATTTCATCTAGGAC